AGCATTGGAAATTGGGGGTTCCATGAAGGTGGTGGTTTGGGCAAAGAATTGGGATGGAATCGAATACAAGCTTGTCGGAGGAAGCCAGACGGCAACTCCTCCACGTGAAGCGGCGTAGTCTAGCCATGATTACGATGGTCGGCTTCAGCGATCGAGTGATTCAGCACACTCGCTCCCTCCAACAAATTTAATGAAGGCACATGAATCTGGATTTAAATTGACCAAAGAAAAAAAAATACAGAAATAAACAGAAAACAAAATCCACAAGTGATAAAAGAAAGTTGGGAACTTTACCTTAAATACAACACTATTTCTTACATCAACTGAAGATTTAATGGCGCTGCCATGCATCTACCAAGAACTTTAACCTTGGAAGAATTTACTAGTGCGATGAGGCATTTTGCCAACTCCATAGGAAGATGACCAATCTAAATTATGAAATGCATAGATGGTGTGAATTAACAAATTAGTACCTATCTCGCATTTTTAATACTATCCCACACACACACAAAATGAACATTTTAGAAAACATTAGTATACTACAACAAAGGGCAAAATAAAAGAAAATTGAAAATGGAGATTACCTCACCGGATCGTTTAGTTGAGAAGCGAACAATCCCCGATGTTGTAGCAGCAGCTTTTACACTCACCCACTGTGAACTGTGTCTACTTCGACCCATGATTAGATTGAGCTTCTTCTGATTCGTTTGGCCTGTCCGGTTCAATCTGGATCTTTGCACATTCATTATTGGAGAAACTTTAGTCTCAGTTGATTGAAGACTATCTGAACCCACTATTTCTCCGTTTTCAGGCACCTTCTCAATAATCATATCAGGTTCCTCCTTCAAATTCACATCCGGCTTCGACTCTATAATCGATTGAGCTTCTTCTGATTCTTTTGGCCTCTTCTGCTCAATCTGGGTCTTGAGATATTCATCATCGGACATAACTTTGGTCCACTCACGATCTCGTCCACTTCAACTCTCTTGATCACCTGATCTAAATTATCTCCCTATATCTATATATATGTCGATATATATAAATTTGTCTCGCTGTACCAGTCGGCCAAACCAGGAATCCTTGCCTGAAATTGCACATCGCCGATTTAGTCCTTGCCGCTAATTCAGTCTCGCCATCACCATCATCGTTCTTCACCGAATTCTCAGCAATCAACAAGCTCTGTTTCGCAGCCTCTGATACGATGGAGACCATCCTCTGAAGCCGACCAAATTTGCCGACAAATAGAGAGGGTTACAACACTTAGGCAACGTTTGGGGGCATGAAGGGTATTTCACGCTTTTTATTTATTTTAGTATTTTTTTTTTCTTAATTACAATGGGTAGTTTTGTAAATATACTATGAAGTCGGCCGGAAAGTGGCTGAAATTGTTTTTCAGGAGGTTAATTTGCACGATTTGGATACTTGTGGTACTGACTTGTTCATTTTTGTAGTCCAAAAAGATAAAATGTCGATTTGTGATAAGTCAGGGTTATTTGCACTTTTGCCTTTATAATAAGAATTCATATTTAAAGTGGAGTCAGAATCAGATTGTTAAGATTTTTTATTTTTATGTATTTATCATGTTCGTGATTTGATACTAATAATTTTTTTTTTTTTTTTTTCATTTAAAAAAAATATTTTGAGGGGATATTTCCCCCATATAGAACACCTCGATGGAACCCCACCACCTGAGTACTAGAGGACAATGAGCATGCGCTGCTTGTTTGAGAACCACAAATTTTGTACTTAATAGTTTCTTGAAATCATGAAAGGCATAAACCCCCCCCCCCCCCCCCCCCCCCCCTTTTTTTTTTTTTTTTTTAATTCAACCAATTTCTAAAAATATTTCATATGTGATAGAATAGTCTTCTCTCTTCTTTTACTTTATGTTAATTGAAACCTAGGTGATATATTAAATTACCAAACAAAAACATTTATATTATTTTCATAATAACCCCTAACAAGTTAAATTTATTAACAATATAATAAGATGTACGTATAAAGTTTTGAGTCCTTTCCAAATTAGAGTACAAAAGAAAATTATTGAATTTACAAATTTTGAGTAATTTTATTTCAAGTTAAATGGATATAATTTCAGTGTGTAATACATATATATATATGCTAGGAAAAGGCACGTGCTATGCATGTGATAAATATTTTGTAACTTATAAAATTTTTATCTTCATATTGATTAATAAAAATTTATTTTACAATAATAAATAAATACTGAAATATTTTAAAATTGGTGATAGAGTTTAAGTTTCGTAAATTAATAAATTCTTTTATGATTTATATTAATACTGAAATATGTATATTTTATTTTTTATTAAATAATAATTTTTTATTTTAATAGTGAAATATTTGAGTTTTGCAAAGTAACAAATTTTTTTAGGTAATTTGAATTTTATTAGGCAATTTGTAATTTGAATTTTATTAGATAATTTGAAATTTAGTATAATTTTTAATTTACAATAGAAATTCAATTATATTAATTTTTAGTTAAATTTTAAAATAGAAATTCAATTATACTAATTATACATTAGATTGAAATTGATATAAAAATTTATTATATGGAGTTTGTGGTTTTTGGAAGACCCTAGGTTATATTTTATCTTCTTTAAATATGTAATTTGAGGTAGAATTTTATAAAAATTATTTTATTTTATTAAGATATATCTTTATAAAATTAGATTTTCTTTTATTAAAAAACTCATAAAAAATAGATAAATACAAGGGTTATATACTTATATGTGATAGAGTTCTCTTTTTGTATTAATTAATAAATATTTTTTATATTAAAAAATAAATACTGAAATGTTCAAATTCTTTAACATTTATATTTTATTTATATGTATTATTATATTATTATATATTTTCTTTAAATATATCCTTGTCTAATGTTATAGAAATTGTTTTATTTTTTTTTAAATATATCCTTATTTAATTAGATTTTATTTTATTAGAAAACTCATAATAAATAGATAAATACAGATTATATGTGATAGAGTTTTAAAGAAAATAAAATACTTAATTTGTGGTAAAGTTTTGATAATTTATGTTAGAGTTTTATAAAAACTATTTAAATATATATCTTTATTTAATGTGATAGAGTTTCATTGCAAATAAAATAGGTAATTTGTGGTAGAATTTTATATAAATTATTTATTTTCTTTAAATATACATGTCCTTGTCTAATTAGATTTTTTTATATTAAAAAACTCATAATAAAAGATAATTTGTGGTAGAGTTTTAGAAAAATTATTTTATTTTTTATACCAATTATTAAATATTTTTTATATTAATAATTCTTGTCTAGTTATATTATATTTTATTAAAAAATTCGTAATAAATACATAAATATGTAATTTTTATTATAATTTTATATAAACTCTTTTAAAAAAATATTTTAATTTCTTTAAATATATCATTGTCTAATTAGATTTCCTTCATCAAAAAACTCACAATAAATAGATAAAAACAAGTTATATGTGATAGGGTTTTAAAGAAAATAAAATAGATAATTTGTGGTACAGTTTTATAGAAATTATTATATTTTCTGCAAATCTATTTATAATAAATAAATAAATAGGTAATTTGTGTTACAGTTTAATAGAAATTCTTTAAAAAACACTTTTTATATCAATTAATAAATATTTTTTTATATTAATAATTCTTGTCTAATTAGATTTCATTTTATTAAAAAAACTCATAATAAATAGATAAATAGATAATTTGTGTTAAAGTTTTATTGAAACTCTTTTCAAACCTCTTTTTATATTAATTAATAAATATTCTTTTATCTTAATAATGCTTGTCTAATTAGATTTTCTTTTATTAAAAAAACTCATAATAAATAGATAAATAGGTAATTTGTGATATAGTTTTATAAAACTTTTTAAAAAACTCTTTTTAGACCAACTAATAAATAATTATTTATATTAATAATACTTGTCTAATTAGATCTTCTTTTATTAAAAAAACACTTAATAAATATATAAATAGAAAATTTGTTTTAAAATTTTTTAGAAACTCTTTAAATATTATATCTTTGCCTACTATGATAGAGTTTTATTAAAAATATAATTTGTGATTTGTGACAGAGTTTTTTAAAAATTATTTTATTTTCTTTAAATATAACATTCTTTAATTAAGTTTAATTTTATTAAGAAACTCATAATAAAAGTTAATTTGTGATAGAGTTTTAGAAAATTTATTTTATTTTATATATCAATTAATAAATATTTTTTATATTAATAATTCTAGTCTAATTAGATTTTCTTTTATTAAAAAATTCATAATAATAAATAGGTTAATTTGAATTTTATTAGGTAGATTTTAGAGTTTTATAGAAGTTTTTTTTCTATAAAAACTCTTCTCATATCAATTAATGAATTTTTATATAAATAAATAAATACTGAAATACTGAAACTCTTTCCACATTTAATAAATATTTTTTAAATAAATAAATAAATACTGAAACTTTAGATTTACTTTTATTAAAAAATACATAATAATAAATAGATAAATAGGTTAATTTGAATTTTATTAGGTAGATTTTAGAGTTTTATTAAGTTTTTTTTTCTTTTATTTATTTATTTTTATAAAAATTCTTTTCATATCAATTAATAAATATTTTTTATATAAATAAATAAATACTGAAATACTGAAACTCTTTACACATTTAATATTTTATTTTCTTTAAATATATCCTTGTCTAATTAAATTTAATTTTATTAGGAAACTCATAATAAAAGTTAATTTGTGGTAGAGTTTTAAAAAATTATTTTATTTTATATATCAATTAATAAGTATTTTTTATATTAATAATTCTTGTCCAATTCAATTTTCTTTTATTAAAAAATTCATAATAATAAATAGATAAATAGGTTAATTTAAATTTTATTATATAGATTTTGGAGATTTTTTTTTTTTTTAAATACTTTTCATATCAATTAATAAATATATTTTTTTATAAATAGATACTTAAATACTGAAACTCTTTGCACAGTTAATAGTAGAGAACAAAAGGGAGGGGCCTTTTGATCCGAGGTTGGGCTCCACAAGTATTGATCTTGTCACATCCTGCCATTGGCGCATTCTTGACACACTGTGGTTGGAATTCGACGCTGGAAGGAGTATGCAGCGGCGTGCCAATGATAACATGGCCCTTCTTTGGAGAGCAGTTCTTGAATGAGAAGTTTGTTGTAGAGGTATTGGAGATTGGTGTTAGTGTTGGGGCTAAGGCTGTTGTGCACGTGGGTGAAGAACACAAGTGTGGAGTGTTGGTGAAGAGGGAGGAAATTAGGAAGGGTGTGGAGAGAGTAATTGGTGAAGGAAAAGAAGGAGAAGAGAGAAGGAAAAAAGCAAAAGAGCTTGGGGAGATGGCAAACAGGGCAATAGAAGAAGGGGGATCATCTCAGCTCAACATCACAATGCTAATCCAGGACATAATTCAACAAGCAAAAAATTGGTCATCTTGTTAGTTTTGTGGCTCTGTTTTGCTTCAAATACTTAGCTTGAGTAGTTTGAACTTTTTTTTTTTTTTCTTTTTCTTTTTATTTTTTTCAAACCCAAAAATGCTCAAATGAAAATAGAGGGAAATAATCAGTAAGCATATCTAGGATGAGATCCAGTAAACACTTATTGTCATCCACTTGTATTCCTTAGTCTAATGAACCTTTTTGATTCATATAATACTGGTCCTAAAAGAACACAAGAAGAGAGTAATGTTACTTCCACTTGTGAAAGTTGATGTTGTGGATTGCGGATTGTAGTTGTGATCACTTGTTATTGGTGCACTGGTAACTGCAGTTTCTCTAATTTGAGACCTGATATATGGTGATGTTGGGATTTATATGCCCGGCATAGTAAATTTTTATTTGGATTAAAGTGACATATGTTCCTAACATATCTGAAATATTTATATTTTATACAATTGATGAATTCAATGTATTATATTTCGATTCATTATGGAATTAATAGTGTTTACTTAATTACAAGAGATATTTATATATGTATGTGATGTCGATCGATACATGAATATAAATAGTAATCATAAATTGTTCATAGTTGGTAATTATGGATGAACATTTAATTAACTAAGACTTGAACCGAGTCCATGACAGGTTGAGATATATTGCGAGAGCCGTCATATGCAATTGCTCTCCGTAACAGTCATGATTTTTGACTCTCAAGCATGAGAGAAGTATAGACTCTTTTATTAATTAATAATTACTTTGATTTGTTCTGCGGATACTTCGGGATCCATAGTTAATAGTTAGAAAGTTATATTATCAATATTTGCATCACTGTTACTTCTATTTCTTTTGTATTAATTGTAACGACCCTAACTGATGCCAAGAGTTTTACAAAAAATTCAGCATAACCTCCCCGAAAAATAGGCCTACCATACCCTGTTTAAATTCATTTTTGACCTATCATGGCTCAATTTCCGAATTCACGGCAACAGTATATAATCATACACAATCAAATAACACCGATTATTACTTTAACTAAAATTATCCTTCCCATTCATCAACAAGGTTACATGACAAAGTTTTGCAAAATATACATATATACCTTTATACTTTTAGTGCTTTGCAAAAATAATGGGAAATATACAAAAGACACAAAAGTGAGCTTCTAGTATCGCTCAAGCTTGAGGTGGGTTGTCATTCACCGGTTCTTTTCCAAGACCTGAAAAAAATGTATAAATAGTAGGGTGAGCTATATGCTCAATAGGTGACACTTAAGACACAAATCTTGTGTCCTTGTGAATTCAAGCAAAGCATAGGCCAATGGGAGATAGGGATCATACAACGTAGGGGATCAAATACAACATACAAGTCAATTCCAAGTATAAACAATGCAATGCAATGAAATGAAATGCAATGCATGTCAATGACACTCCCCATTTTTATTCTCAAAACCATCACTTTCAAACGTTAATACAACCCGCCCTTAGGTAACCCCGCCGCGACACGAGAGGAGGATTGGCTAGTGTCCCTGACCCTTGGTAACCCCGCGGCGTCATTATGGGGCCCAGCTAGCTCAACCACACTAGGGCGACTCCCTAGTCCCCTCTAGGCTATATTAACCTCCGGCCCGTTGGTAACCCCGCAGCGACCGGGTTTCGCATAAAACCATTTTATCAAAAACACTTCCCTGAAATTCCCCATATTTATTTCAAGAACAATTTCTCCCATTTCATGCAAACCCAATGGTATGTGCATGCATATATGTTCCATACATTCAATGTCATGGCATTTAAAATTTTCCATCATAAAATTAAACATTCAACATGTTCAACATCTCCCAAGTAATTATTAACACATTAAGATACAACAAAATACATTTAAGCATGTGCATGTATATATATATATGAGCTCAACATCATGAATTGGGAAATTTGGCGCAATTTAAATAAGCATACTCTCATACATCAATTTCAGCATGCTAGCACATAGTAAACATAGTAAATCAACAACTAAATATAATTTGTACATGAACCAACCATATTCAAGATCGTGAAAACCCTCTAGACATCATTAATACCATCATAGATATAATTAACTCTAAATTAAGCATATTTAATACAACATGGAGATAAAATTCACAATAGAACAAGACTATAGTGGATTAAGATGCCCCTACCTCAAAATAGGCAAAACCCTAGAAATGGGTTTAAATTTTTGAGTTCCAAGGAAGGTAGCTAAACTGGAATTGCTGGTACTAGAACGTAGAGCTCGTCACACTCGTCGTTTTGCCTCAAACGGCACCTAAATCCGGCAAGTAATGAAGATGGAATCAAGGATTGAAGTTGAAAAAGAAAAAAGAAAAGAAAAAAAGCAGAAGCAGCGAGAGAGAGAGATATGAGCTGCCGAGAGAGAAAACAAATTGGAATTAAATGGGTCTGCAATGACCCTTATAACTCAAGTGGGCCCCACAGTTGAAAAGTCAAAAACTTTACATTCTCCCCAACTTTAAAAAAGATTTCGTCCCCGAAATCAAGACATACCTGGAGAAGAAAACAATTCTGGGTACTTGGACCGAACCTCCTGTTCGAGCTCCCAAGTAGCCTCCTCGACTCCGTGGTGTCTCCAAAGGACTTTCACCATTGGTATTGTCTTGTTCCTCAACACCTTCTGTTGTGTGTCAAGAATCTGAACTGGTCCTTCCTCGTAGGAAACATCCTCATCAATGTCTACATCAACCCAACTCAAAATGTGAGATGGATCTGGCTTGTACTTCCGTAACATCGATACATGGAAAACATTGTGGACCCTATCCAACTGTGGTGGCAAAGCAAGCCTGTAGGCAACCTCTCCTACTCGGTCCAAAATCTCAAACGGTCCAATAAATCGTGGCGACAACTTGCAACTTTTCCTGAATCTCATCAATCCCTTCCGTGGAGAAACCCGTAGAAAAACATGGTCTCCCACCTCAAAGGATAACGGTCGTCTCCGCTTATCCGCATAGCTCTTCTGTCGACTCTGAGCTGTAAGTAACCTCTGTCTTATCAACTTAATCTTCTCAGTAGTCTCGAGTACAATGTCGGGTCCTAAGGCGGCTGTCTTACCTACCTCAGTCTAACAAACAGGAGACCTATAAGGTCTACCATACAAGGCCTCAAATGGAGCCATCTGGATGCTCGCCTGATAACTGTTGTTGTATGCAAACTCAATAAGTGGAAGGTGATCATCCCAACTACCTCCCAAATCAAGTACACATGCCCGAAGCATATCCTCCAAAATCTGGATAGTACGCTCTGACTGACCGTCTGTCTGTGGATGGAATGCCGTACTAAGATGCAACGCTGAACCAAACGCTGCTTGAAGTCCTTTCCAGAACTTCGAAGTGAACTTGGCATCCCTATCTGACACAATGGTTACAGGAACTCTATGCAACCTTACAATCTCCTTCACATAAAGAACACCAAGCTTCTCTGCATCATCTGTTGCCTTAATAGGCAAAAAGTGAGCCGTTTTGGTCAATCTATCAATGATAACCCATACGGCCTCATTGCCCCTCCTTGACCTTGGAAAACCTGTCACAAAATCCATAGCAATATGCTCCCATTTCCATTGCGCTACAGGTAATGGTTGCAACAAACCTGCTGGCCTCTGATGCTCGGCCTTCACCTGCTGACAGGTAAGGCATCTAGCCACAAACTGTGCAACATCTTTCTTCATCCCGTTCCACCAATACTGACGTCTTAAATTGTGATACATCTTGGTACCACCTGGATGAACTGCAAAACGGGAAGTATGAAACTCCCGTAAGACGTCCTCACGACAAACCGTAGGAACCACTAACAAACCCCTGAACCGTAGACCCCCATCTGCATGCAAGGCCCAATCTTTCATTGTCTTACCACTGGAGATCAAAGCGTGAATGGCATTTAAGTCTGGGTCCTGTCTCTGTGACTCAATCACTCGTACAACAAGAGTAGGCTGAGCCACAAGACTAAATAAGAATGCCGACTTACTGCAACCATCATCATCACAACACTGTAATCCTATCTCTGCCAGATCTTCAAGCATCTTCCACTTCCGAATAGCTAAACTGGCCAAAGTTCCACGAGATTTTCGGCTTAAGGCATCAGCTACAACATTTGCCTTGCCCGGATGATACTGCAAATCAAAGTTGTAATCTTCCAAGTACTCAACCCATCATCTCTGTCTGTTGTTCAAGTCCTTTTGGGAGAAAAGGTACTTGAGACTTTTGTGATCTGAAAATACCTCGAATCTCTCACCATACAAGTAGTGTCTCCAACATTTCAAGGCAAACACAACTGCCGCTAACTCCAGATCATGAGTAGGGTAGTTAAGCTCGTGAGTCTTCAACTGTCGAGACTCATAAGCCACTACTCTACCATCCTGCATCAACACACATCCCAACCCGTCACGTGAAGCATCACAATAGATCACATAACCCAAGCCACGCTCAGGTATCACCAACACTGGAGCTGTAGTCAATCTCGTCTTCAACTCCTGAAAAGATGAATCAAAGGCCTCATTCCAGACAAACTTGACCCCTTTTCGGGTCAAACGGGTCATAGGAGCTGCCAAACGGGAGAAATCCTTCACAAATCTCCGATAGTAACCCGCTAAACCAAGAAAACTGCGGATCTCAAACACATTCTTGGGTCGCTCCCAAGTCAAAACTGCTTCAACCTTTGATGGATCAACTGATACTCCACCTTCTGAAACAACATGCCCCAAAAACTTCACCTCCTGTAGCCAAAACTCACATTTCTCGTATTTGGCATACAATCGGTGTTCCCGCAAAATCTGTAAAACAATACTCAAATGGACCTCGTGATCTTCCCGAGTCCGTGAGTACACAAGAATGTCATCCACGAAAACTACCACAAACTGGTCCAAGTAATCGTGAAAGACGCGGTTCATCAAGTCCATGAATGTCGCTGGCGTATTAGTCAAGCCAAAAGGCATAACAAGGAACTCATAGTGTCCATACCGTGTACAGAATGCTATCTTCAGGATATCCTCATCCCTAACCCGCAACTGATAATAGCCAGACCTCAAGTCAATCTTCGAGAAACAACTTGCTCCCCTCAACTGATCAAATAAATCATTTATCCTTGACAAAGGATACTTATTCTTGATGGTGGCGTGATTCAACTTCCGATAATCAATGCACAACCTCAACGAACCATCTTTCTTCTTAGCAAACAAGACCGGTGCGCCCCACGGTGACACACTCGGTCGGATGAAACATTTCATCCTCAAATCATCAAGCTGCTTCTTCAATTCTTCCAATTCAACTGGTGCCATACGATACGGTGCCATAGAAATTGCGCGGTACCTGACATTAACTCAATAGAGAACTCCACTTCTTGGTGTGGAGGCAACTCTGTCAAATCTTCTGGAAAAACATCCAAGAAGTCACAAACAATCGCCGGATAAACTTCTCCCACGACATCATCTTCTTCGGCTAGAAGACTAGCTAAGAAATAATCACCATGACTTCGTCCACGAACTCCATAAAACGATGAAATGTGGGAATCACTCCGATCTCCCACGAAAAAGAAATAGTCTCCCTCGGGAGTGCAAACTGTAACTCTTCCTCTGTAACAGTCGATCGTAGCATGAAATGAAGCCAACCAATCCATTCCGAGAATGACATCAAAGCTAGTCATCTCTAGGAGGATAAGGTCAAACACAAAGGTCCGCCCGACTATCACAATGGAGCAATCCCGCACAACTCGGCTCAATGACACTGAAACCCCAACTGGCTTATCAACACATAACGCCCGATCCATGAAACTAACCTCTAACCTCGATGCAAGTACAAATGATGATGAAATGAAAGAATGAGATGCACTAGAGTCAAATAAAACACGGGCCCAACAACCAAACACTAGAAATATACCTCGAAGGACTGACGGTCCAGAAGATGCATCAGTCTATGCCAGTGCAAAAACATGTCCCTGTGGTACCTGTGCCTGAGGACTGCCAACCTGAACACCTGACTGCTGCACTGACATAGTAGGAGTATCCCTCATAACTGATCGTGAACCCTGTGAATACATAGTAGGCTGTGGTGGTGGTGGTCTGAAACCTGACTGAACTGTAGCCGATTGTGACGGCCTCTGCTGTGACCCTCTGCCACTAATGGTGCCTGCTCTCTGACTCGGACAATCACGAATCAAGTGACCCTGCTGGCCACACCTATAACAAGCCTTCGGAGCTGACGAAACTGAAAACGATCTCATCGGACAACTGGACTTGTAATGTCCGGGCTGCTGACACTGATAACAAACAACTGCACTCCTGTCAGATCCAGCTGGCATAGGATTGGTAGGAGCAGGTCTTGTAGACTGTTGCCCCTGAAATTGAGATGGCCTACCCCTGTTCCTTTTCCAAGAAGATCTCTCTGAGGATGGCCCTGCACCCCTCTTTTGCTTCAATTGCTCTCTTCTTGCATCCTTCTCTCTATTGTCAGCCTCCAGCATCAAAGCCCTTTCCACTGCTTCAGAGTAAACCTTAATAAACTGTGCCGTGATCAACTGCCTCATTCGATCATTAAGACCCGAGACAAACTTCCGAGTCTTGTTAGCTTCATCTCTCACCACTTCTGGAGCAAAACGGGAGAGTGAGGTGAACTTGTTCTCATACTCCGCCACTAACATGCTCCCTTGAATAAGATTATGAAACTGGTCTTGTAACTCCCATCTTTTGGAAAGCGGAAAGTACTTTTCATAGAACAGTTCCTTGAACCTGTCCCAACTCATCTCTTCAATCTTGTACTGGTTAGTGATCGACTTCCACCAAACCTTGGCATCTATAACAAAGTTGTAAGTTGCTAGGATGATCTTGAAGTGATCCTCTGTCACATCCATTGAAGTCAACTGAGTTTCGACTTGATCCATGTAGTTGTCGGCTACCATTGGATCCGCACCGCCCTCAAACATAACCGGCATCAGCTGAGAAAACCCCTTGATGATCTGGAGACGCTTCTGAGCTGGAGTCTCCTCAACTCGAACTGTAGGTTGTGGTACCAACTGCGGCTGAGCAACAATAGTTGCTCTCACGACATTTTGCAACAAACGATTAAACTCCAGTGCCACAGAACCTTCACCCACTTCTACGGGTACGGGTGTTTCAACATTCTCTCTTCTTGGGGGAACAGCTCTTGGGGGAATCAAGTCCCTAAGAAGCATATTCTCATCAACTGGCTCTGCCGGATTGGAGCTAGAGCTCTCACCAACATCACCCCTTGTTGGTCTAGGGCCAACTTCTCTAGGTTCCTCACGCCGTGACATCGTGCTATAAAACGAGAAAATGATTCAGAAACATGACACTAAGGTCCACTGTGGACGACTCAACAAGAATTAATACCGTACAACACTTAGCATGCAAGACTATGCAAGAAACATTTTAACATAAACAAGTAAGCAAGTAAACACATAGGCAGTTAAGCATGCTTATTTAAATAAGATACCACGTAGCAAGTAGTCAAGTAAGCAACACAAACAACATTCCATGCGACTCTATGTAGGCCTCTACCCGTCGTCCTAAAGGTTTTTGAACCTTGGCTCTGATACCAAATTTGTAACGGCCCTAGCTGATGCCAAGAGTTTTACAAAAAATTCGGCATAACCTCCCCTAAAAATAGGCCTACCATACCCTGTTTAAATTCATTTTTGACCTATCATGGCTCAATTTCCGAATTCACGGTAACAGTATATGATCATACACAATCAAATAACACCGATAATTACTTTAACTAAAATTATCCTTCCCATTCATCAACAAGGTTACATGACAAAGTTTTGCAAAATATACATATATACCTTTATACTTTTAGTGCTTTGCAAAAATAATGGGAAATATACAAAAGACACAAAAGTGAGCTTCTAGTATCGCTCAAGCTTGAGGTGGGTTGTCGTTCACCGGTTCTTTTCCAAGACCTGAAAAAAATGTATAAATAGTAGGGTGAGCTATATGCTCAGTAGGTGACACTTAAGACACAAATCTTGTGTCCTTGTGAATTCAAGCAAAGCATAGGCCAATGGGAGATAGGGATCATACAACGTAGGGGATCAAATACAACATACAAGTCAATTCCAAGTATAAACAATGCAATGCAATGAAATGAAATGCAATGCATGTCAATGACACTCCCCATTTTTATTCTCAAAACCATCACTTTCAAACGTTAATACAGCCCGCCCTTTGGTAACCCCGCCGCGACACGAGAGGGGGATTGGCTAGTGTCCCTGACCCTTGGTAACCCCGCGGCGTCATTATGGGGCCCAGCTAGCTCAACCACACTAGGGCGACTCCCTAGTCCCCTCTAGGCTATATTAACCTCCGGCCCGTTGGTAACCCCGCAGCGACCGGGTTTCGCATAAAACCATTTTATCAAAAACACTTCCCTGAAATTCCCCATATTTATTTCAAGAACAATTTCTCCCATTTCATGTAAACCCAATGGTATGTGCATGCATATATGTTCCATACATTCAATGTCATGGCATTTAAAATTTTCCATCATAAAATTAAACATTCAACATGTTCAACATCTCCCAAGTAATTATTAACACATTAAGATACAACAAAATACATTTAAGCATGTGCATGTATATATATATATGAGCTCAATATCATGAATTGGGAAATTTGGCGCAATTTAAATAAGCATACTCTCATACATCAATTTCAGCATGCTAGCACATAGTAAACATAGTAAATCAACAACTAAATATAATTTGTACATGAACTAACCATATTCAAGATCGTGAAAACCCTCTAGACATCATTAATACCATCATAGATATAATTAACTCTAAATTAAGCATATTTAATACAACATAGAGATAAAATTCACAATAGAACAAGACTAGAGTGGATTAAGATGCCCCTACCTCAAAATAAGCAAAACCCTAGAAATGGGTTTAAATTTTTGAGCTCCAAGGAAGGTAGCAAAACTGGAATTGCTGGTACTAGAACGTAGAGCTCGTCACACTCGTCGTTTTGCCTCAAATGGCACTTAAATCCGGCAAGTAATGAAGATGGAATCAAGGATTGAAGTTGAAAAAGAAAAAAGAAAAGAAAAAAAGCAGAAGCAGCGAGAGAGAGAGATATGAGCTGCCGAGAGAGAAAACAAATTGGAATTAAATCGGTCTGCAATGACCCTTATAACTCAAGTGGGCCCCACAGTTGAAAAGTCAAAAACTTTACATTAATTTTTGTTGATCACAAATTAAATTCGAAGGCCTTCATATGTTTTAGACAAAAATGTTTTCTATATATTTATTTAGTAAATTGTTATTTTTTTTGTCAAACAAACTTTTATTGTGATCAAGCCGGAAATAATCAAAGGTAACAAAATAATTATATTAATTATGTTGTCAGATTGATGGATTTATAATCCGATAAATAATTATGCATAGAGGGGTCAAAGTGCAACATTGACTTAGAAGTTATTTACTATTTAATTGGAGTGCAATTAATTTCTTTTAGTGAAATAGAAATTAATTTATGAATTAATCGAATTGGGTTCATGGTTTAATGGACCAAACCAATTATTTATAGTAGCTAAGAAAATAGCAAGCCCAAAGGATTCTCACCCCTAGCCCAAGTTGATATTGGAGTCCTATTAGAATTGAGTTATGTGAATTAGAGATTGAGAAGGATTTATTGTTTCCTTTTCTTATCTTTATATTGCCTATATATACATGGGTCCATGTAGATTTTAAAGTAGACTTTTGGAAAAAAACAAAAAAATATATTTTCTCTCTAGTTTTAGGGTTTGCCCTCTCTTCTAAATGAGGCTACCACAAGCCTTGCCTCCAAGGTCATTTATTGAGGTATATTGGTGATTCCTAAAGGGAAGATTACTATCAATAAGAAGGAAAAAGAATCTTTCTAAGGGATCTATAATAAGTGAGAACATTCACTTTAGATGAAAGATTTAAAGGTTTACTCAAACATTTGAAGTATTCAATCTGTTAATTGAATGATACATCATATTTTATTTTTATATAAAATTTGTCTCTATGTAATGAATCAAGATCTATATATAAAAATCCCTTAAAAAGTTTTTAAAACTTGCACGTTTCCCAACATATTTTTTATTTATTTTAAGTTATTTAGAGGCGACGGGACTATTTTTTGAATTTTCGGAAGTCAAGACAATTTTTGGGTTCGGGAACTTCTTCTGGTTTTCTCGTTTTAGGTGAGGGGTATTGTAGTCATTTCACATGCATATGTATATATTTGTGTATCTATTTTGGTGGGAGATATTTTAGGAACCTTATTGGTATTGAAATGAATGTAAATGGGTAAAAGAGTAACTAACCAAAAAGTTACAATCACACACATTTTAACAAGTGGCATGCCATGGACCACAAGTCATATGTTGACCAACACATCTTTTTCCTCTTCCTCCACTGCGGCCGAATCTCTCTCTCACGCTAAAGTTTTAATTTCTCTCTCTATATCCATATGTATCTATATTACATATTGCTTCTAAGCCATTTTTAGGAGGTTTAAACTATGATTTTGGTAATAATCATGAAAGGAAAATTGCAGACCATGAAGAGGACTTTCATTTAAGACCAATATTACAAGGGGTTAAGGATTTTGAAAATTTGGAGGCCTTAAGGCTTGTTTGGTTTGGCTAGTTTCTTTGAGGTTGGGGTTGCCTAACTTGTATAGTCCTAAGTCTTCGTAAGTGATTATTGTGTTTCCCTTATAAGCATGCTGAATTTTTACATAAATTGGTTGAATTGGATTATAGGTTTCGTCTATGATTTTTGCTTGTTAAGTTATTGTTTAAATTGAAATCAAAGTTATCAATGTGTTGCTTAGTTGTTAAAGAGGACTTCTTGTTAAATTGTTGCTAAAGTAAAGTCATTATTCAGATTGTAATTGTGTAGAATGATGGAAAATGTGTTAATGCTCACTTATCTTATTATTCTCTTTTGTGTTATGTGTCATGCTTACTTAACTTGAGGAAACACCATTTAGGTATCCTCTACTGAGCGGTAGTGCTCAACCATTTTATCTTAAACATTTTCAGGGTTTTAGGAGCGGCGAAGTGGATGGGATGCCTTCACATGCTTATACGTAGTTAGGAAGTTTATAATTTGAAGTCCATGTATCCATGTTCAATGTAATTGGATTTATCTTGATATATAATGACGTAATTCAATTTCATTATGATATATGAATGTTATCTTATCAACGTAAGCATGTTTATGGTTATTTGGGATAAGGATTTCATCATATCAAAAGTTTCAAATTCTAACCATGTGATGCCAAGTTGTTCAGGCCTTTAAACAATGAGAAAATCGTATTTTTGGGCCATTTCGATCGACCGGTAAGCCATTTCGGTCGACCGGTGTCATTTGGAATTGAAACCAATAGCTTCGAACACTCCAGAGCCACAATCGGTCGATTGGAGTGTCATTTCGATCGACCGATGGGTCATTTCGGTCGACCGGAATGGCATATAGTGTCTGCCAAAATGAAAACTGAGACAGCTTTTAATCTCCGACTTCAAATGATT